TTAAGGGTGTTTAAGATGTTAAATCCAGAAGGGTAGCTAGTCCTAAAGGGTTAGGATTGGTTCTCAGGCAAGACAACTGAGGGGAAGGAAGGGGTTTTGTCGAGACGATAGTATTAGAGGAGGATATAATGAGTTAACAATATGGCCTAAGTGTAATCTAAATAATAGATTAATAAATAGGTTAAACACGAGTATAAGGGTTTATACTCGCATTCCTATATACTTAAGTGATCCCATAATATCTCATATTCCCATGAAATCCCATGCTTGACATATGTGGGATCCCATAGTATAGTTACGTAACATCCGTTATATAATCTCATTATCCTATAGCTTGGCGCTTAGGACAACCGTAAGACATTACCTAATCCTTATGGGGCCTGAGGTCGTATGCTATTATAAGTAACCTCTATCCTCGCCACTTTTTAGGATCCTAATATTACCTCCTCCCTTTCCATGCATGTCCTTATACATTAACTAATATCCTCCTATAGTACCATTCATCATTATACCATTAGGAATCAAATAAATGCTACTAGGTGGATTGCTATGGTGTCTTATAAATATTGCGCGAAGAAGGGTTTAGCTTATAAGATATTATCCCTAAAGGTTTAATATGGGAATTATTATTATAATGGAATTTTAAAATATAAACCTATAGAACCTACTATTCTAAACTTTACCTAAATTAATTCCGAAGTCGACCGTTTGGAGAGATTGGAAGAAGTAGTGGCTACTAAAGAGGAAGCTACTATAGCTACTCTTTAGGCTACCTATATGTTATAAGGGGTTTCCACGTACCTAACCGTAGGTTCGGACCCTGCGGGTATTCAGTGATTCGAGCGTGAGGGATGGCGGTACCAAAGAGGTTGGGTGAATATCCTACACTGTATGATAGTACGATGTAACAAATATTAAGAGAAGGCTGATGGTTCGTATAAAGACGAGTGGCTTTAATTTAGATATGAAAGTAAGCTTTTGAAGTTGACTACGAAGAATAGGAAATGTTTAGAGAATGTCCGGGACTATATACCAATCGTCCCACCCTTTATGGTCTTCCGATTCCTCGTTGGGGTCCCGCCAAGCCATCGGGGTCCCGGGACCCATCGGGGTCCCTGGGACCTTGCTCGTATGCTGGACCTCGTCACGTGACCCTGGGGTCCCGCCAAGTCCTTCTTTCTGCGGGGCCCTGTTACGTGGTGTTGGGCTGCGTGAGCCCGAGCGAATGCTTACTAGCCTTGCCAGATCAGCATCACCTTTGTTCTCGTTGTTTCCTGCTGCTGTCCTGCGGTCTTCTTTAGTGATTGTAATATTACCTCCCCCCTTAGGGCTATCGTCCTGATACCCTTGTCTTTGCCCTGCGGCGTGGTGTTTTAGCGGGGTCGGCATCGTTCCCGGCCATATAAAGGTAGGCCTGCCCTAGCCCGCGCTGAGGTCGTATCCTCCTCTGGATTTCCCTCGCCTGTCTGACCATGCTGAAAGTCCCGAAGCCCTCTGTCTAGAAACGTCGTGCCCGTGCGCAGAACATCGAGTCTTGGGGTTTGGAGATGGCTGGCTCTCTAGGTTGTGAACGTTGTAGGTGGATGAAGCTTTGCTGTTTCGTAGACGTAGCGTCGGGTTGTTGTGCTGGGTGTATTTTAGTGCATGCTGAATGCAGCCTCTTTGTTCTGGAGAGCGATTGGCAGCGGATCCAAGACGAAGAGGAAGAGACTTGGTTAGCGCTGCTGCGGGCGCGTGCTGAGGCGGCTTGTCTTGAGCTGGCGCTTGCCGAGGTGGAGCAGAAGAAGCGTTCTTATGCTCGTTAGGACCTCTGGGTCGCTGATGCGTTAGATCGTCTGAAAGAGGGGGATTCTTCTGCTGCGTAGGGTACGGCTTCCATTGGTACTTCTGGATTACTGCCATCTTTATCCTTATCCGCTGACTGTGGCTGGTCGCAGGCTGATCTTTTCGATTTTCCTTTCTTCCTAGCTGACGTTGATCCGGTCGCGTCGCCGCGTTGTTCCCCTGGGGTTTCGCTTGAAAATCCTCGAGTGCCTTCTTGTAGTTCGTGAGGTTTTCCTCTGGTTCCCATGTGTTGTACTGATCTGGCCATCCTTTCCACTTAACTAAGTATTGCTGCTGACCTCTGATTGTGTGTAGGTCCTTGATTTCTTCGACTTCGTATTCGTCGTCTTCTAGTTCCAGTTGGGTCTCAATTGGAGCGTCCGGTGGTGCTGGTTCTAGGAGATTTTTGTGGAAAGTAGGGTGTATCTTTGTACTGGTTGGTAGTAGTAGTTTTATCGTAACTGGTCCTTTTATTTCTTGAACTTCGAAAGGTCCTACCCGCAGGTGATCCAGTTTTTTGCTTGGCCTTTTTATTTTGAGGTTTTTTTGTGATAGGAAAACTTTGTCCCCCCTCTTAAGGGTTGGTCCCTTAATCCTTTGTTTATTCGCGTTTCTTGATGCTGAGAGGGCCTTATGGGTGATCCTTTCCCGTAGGATTTTGTGAAGTTCCTTCATTTTCTACGCTCTATCTTGAGCTCCCGTTGAAATACTCTGTATATCTCTCGGATCTCGATGAGTAACCGGCTCATATCCGTAATTTGCGTAATGGGGTGAGTAGCCCATTATACCCGATCTGGCACTATTGTATGCTAACTAGGCTGTCGGTAATAGCTCTATCTAATTGTCTTGTTGTTTGTTGACGTAGAACTATAGATACTGTTCTAGTGTCTGATTCGTGCGCTCCGTTTGTCCGTCGGTCTAGGGGTGGAAACTCGTTAAGAGTCTCCGGTTCGTCCCTAGAGTGGCTGTGAATGTGTCCCAATATTTGGACGTGAAGAGCTTATCTCTATCCGTAATAAATTCTTCTGGAGGGCCGTGTTCTGCGAATAATGTGCTGTCGACTTCGTAGGCCAGGTCTTCAGCTGTCATGGACTCTTCCATGGCCCTGAATTTGGCCGCCTTTATTAGTCGATCTACCATCACCATGATAGTGTCGCACATCCGTTTTGTTCCGGGTTGTGGCGATTTCGGGAGTTTCACTATGAAGTCTATCGTCACGCTTTGCCATGGGCGTTCTGCTGCTGGCAATGGTTGTAGTAATCCATAAGGCTTATGTCTCTTGGGCTTGTTTTTATGACAAGCCAAATAGTTGCTTATTTCTTTCGTAACCATCTGTTTGAGTTTGGGAATGGCGTACTCGTTTACGATGCGACGCGTTGTTTCTTTAACGCCTGGGTGTCCCCATTCTTGTAATCCGTGGAGTTTTCGTATTAGTGCTGGTGTGTATTTTGTTGATACCACTTTTCTTCTAATGTGATCCTGCTCTTCCCCGCTTAAGCCGTGCTTGAAGAGATCGTATTCTTCCTTTTGTTCTTTGGACAGGCGGCAATAATCCTGAAAGTCGAACACTCTGGTTCCGCTGTAGCTTAGTTCCGCCTTTCATACTTTGATCCAGGGGTTCTAACGATCTAGTTTCGTTACTCCCCTTTCCGGTTGGTTGTATTCTATGGTTCCATCTGTTCGTTTTCTGAGCACTGCATTGTGTAGTTTGGGTTTGTCTTTAATTAGGTTGGATCTCCTGCTTAGTGCGTCCGCCGCGCCGTTAAGAGTTCCTGGTTGATGATGAATCGCAAAATCGAAGTTTGCCAGGAATTCCGCCCATTGAACTTGTCTTTGGTTGAGCTTCTTGGTTGCCATGAAGCTCGTGAGGTTCATATGGTCCGTCCATACCTTAATCTTGGTTGGGGCGCCCATCAGTTACGTCTCCTATTGTTTAAAGGCATCCACTACCCCCAGTAGTTCCTTGTCGTGAACATCGTAGTTTAGTTCTGCCCTGGAGAACTTTTGGGAATGGAAGAACACCGGTCTCTATTTCTCGTCTTCGCATTGTTGAGTGAATATAGCTCCTAATGCGTAGTCTAATGCGTCTGTTTCCACACGAGTCTTCCTTCGTGGGTTAAACATCTGAAGTAGGGGTGCCTATAGGAAGAGTACTTTAAGCCGCTTAAAGGCTTCTTTTGCTTCTTTCCTAAACCCTGCCCACTTATCCTTTTTTGTGAGGTCTGTCATAGGTGCTATTATTTTGGAATAATTCTTAATGAACTTCCGATAGAAGTTGGTAAACCCTAGGAAGGACTAGACGTCCTTCACTGACTTGGGTTCTGGCCATTCTTGTACGGCGGCTACCTTCTTTGGGTCCATAGACACACCTTCCCTTGAGATGATAAATCCTAGGTACTCTGTTTTGGTGACATGAAATTCACATTTATCTAGATGTAGGAGTAGTCGATACTCCTTTATTTTCTCTAGTACTTTTTTCACGTATCCCACATGTTCTTCCAGCGTTCCACTAGAGTAAATAAGTATGTTATTGAGATAAGCGGTATAGAAGACATCCAAGTATTTATGTAGTACTTTGTTGATAACTGCCTGAAACGTTGTAGGCGCGTTGGTTAACCTAAAGGGCATTATGGTGTACTCGTAAAGACCAAACCTGGTTCTAAACGCAGTCTTCTACTTGTGTCCCTTAGCGATTCGGATGTGATGATATCCTTTACGCACGTTGAATTTGGTAAACCATTTGGTTCCTTAGAGTTGGTCCATGAGCTCCATAATTAATGGTAGTGGATACCGGTTTTTTACTGTGGCGTTGTTTAACTGTCTGTAATCTATATAGAGTCGTAGCTTACCGTTCTTTTTTAGTACCTATAATATTGGAAATGCTGCTGGGCTCTAACTATCCTAAATAAATCCTCTCGCTAGATTCTTCTGGAGGTATTCTTGCAGTTCTTTTTCCTAGTCTACTGATATTGGTCTCAGCCGTTCTGGTTGTAGTTTTATTCCTTCTTCTAAGGTAATCTTATAATCCCATTCCTAGTGTTGTGGTAGCGTTTCTTCTTCTTTTTCTTTGAAGAGTCCTGAGTACTCCTTATACTCTGAGGGTATCGTTACTGATGTCTTCGTTTCTTAAAGGTTAGAGTGTCGTACCCATATGATCCTTACTTGGTCCGGGTTTTCCTCTAGGATCCTAGTGATCTTTACTGCCGAAACCCCCTTGCTCTTTTTCCTGGCCTGCTTCACTAAAGCGCCTGGGGTCTGTGGTCTTACCTCACGTAGGTATTGTGCGCCAGCGACCCTTAGCGTTGGTCCTTGGCTGCGCATGGTTTAATTCTTCTAATTAATGTCTAGGTTGTGTCTTAATAACTAGTTATAGCCTATAATGGCTTCTAAGCTTCCCAAGTCCACTATGGTGAAGCTATGTTGGCTTTCGAATCCTTCGATACCAATGGGTAACGGCGTTGTTTCTAGGCGTAACCAGCCTTTGCCGTATCCTTGGGAAAACGTCCCATCTGCCATCTCCAACCGTATAGGGTTTTCCTTATCATGGTAAGGCAAATTGTATTTTTCTACCACTTTGGGTGAGATTAGACATCCGGTGGCTCTAGGGTCTATTAATATATTTACTCGGAATCCTCTGATTGTGATTATTTTTTTGAGTTGAAGTCCTGTGACGTCGTCGTCTTCAACTGCTCTTTAAGCCTTTAGAACGCCCTTACCAGCCTGGCTCTCTGCCTGGTGGCGTTCTAGTTTTTTAACTCATCCTGGGTGGTTCTTGTGCATGTGCACTCATCGTGTAGTGGATAGTCTACGAGTTTAGGGTCCTTGGGGTTGACAACCCTGACCCTTTGTTGGCCTCATCCTCTTTGGGTGGGTCCTTCTCGGCAGTCCCTATAGAGTTGTTTCCAATGACGCTCTACGTCTATGACTCTATCCAACTCTTTTTTGTTGTCTTCCCTGTTTTCCTGGTGGACTGGGTAACCTGTGACTATACATTCCTCCGCTGAGATGTATTGGTGGTCGTATTCCTATGTGCTGGATGCCGCTTCTTCCTTCTCACTAAGGTGTCCAAGACATTTGGTAATCTATTCGCACTTTTCCCACAGGGTCTGGTTGACATGCTGTTCCTACCTTGGGTCGGGGCAATGTTCCTCAGTGCATTTGTGGAATAATTCTCCTAATCCTTTTCCTAGGCCCGTGGGCCAGTATCTGGACGCATGCTTCTGTCACCAGTGCATTAGGCACTAGTGCATAAAGCACTTAAACCATGAGAGTGTGTCGTAATCTTTCGTCCATGCCTCGGCTTTATGGACATGATATAAGCCAATTATATAGGTGTCTATAGTAATCTATCCGTGTTCTGGATCACCTGGTGTCTACGCTACTCGTGTACGTTCCCGTAGGTGTTTGCTGTAATCCTATATAGATGAGCACTGCCACCATTCTAAGATGTCGTGATTAGTTTCCACCTGTATTTGCTATAGTGGGTTTTCCACTATGCCTTGTCGTTCCTTGGCCCAGTTGTAGGTCCCATGGGCGTTAAACCTGGTGATCTTGACCTTGTGACCATAGTTCGGGGCTTGGTGTTGGTCGCTCCCACATACCCAGCATAGTTCCTGTAGAACTCTAGAGGTGACCTCTATGTCCATAGTTATTTCCCAGCTCTTGATGGGTAGCGCCTCCTTAAGGTGTCTCAACATTCCGTTGTTGGAGTCGTTTTCATGTGGGGGTATTGGCGTGCTAGGTCGGATAGCTGCCATGGCTATACGGATGACCTTGGCTCGTTTGCCTCCCATTTTCTTGTTCGGGCAATCGGCCTTGAAGTGCCCCTTGTCTCCACAAGTTAGGCACGCCTTGTCCCTAAAATGCTGTTGTTGGACATCGTCCTATTTCTTCTAATGTGCCGACCGCTCGTTCTTAGTCTAGGCTTTATCTTCCATAATGACGTCTCCGTCTCGGTCTTGATGTTCTCGTTAATGTTTCTTGGTGTTAGCCTTCTGTCCAAAGGTAGGCTTTCCTAATTCCTTTTTTTCCGTCTGGTGTTTATAGAGCCTATTGTCTACTTGCACTACGAGTTCGATTAGTTTGTCTAAGTTATCGGCCTTGTCGTAGTGTACTAGTTCGTCCTTGATAATCTCCTTGAGGCCGTTGTAGTACGCGGCCTGCAATGGTGCATTATTCTAGTCGATTCTTGCCTGGAGTTGTTGGAATTCCGCTGAGTAGGTACTTGCCGACTTGGTTTGCCTGAGGCGCTGGATTTGTCGCTCAGCCTGTTGTTTCTCATCCACTTCTCTAAACATGACCTGCATTTGTTCCTGGAAGGTCTCCTAGTCCTTGAATGTCTTCTTCGTTTCTGTTCCACATTTGGCGATTGTGTTTTCGTTTTTTAAGTAGTCGTCCGTTAGTGGTTGCATCCATTTGGCTGCCCTTCTGGTCATGTGCATGCCTGCTGCTAGGATCTTGTCTTGATCCGTGGCCAGTGTCTGTTTGTTGTACCTGCAGTATAGGTCCATATTTGTGAGGAAAGGTTTGAGTTTTTCCTTGTCCCCGTTAAACAGTTCGGGTACTTTGAACTGTATCTTTGGAGCTATGTTCGTGGCGACCGCCCCGGCTGCCTGAACCTGGAGTTGGCCTATGAGTTCCGCCATCTGCTCCTTGAGCTGTTGGATCTCGCTGGCCTGTGCGGCCAGTACTGTGGCCTGGTTGCTCGTGGGACCAGAAGCGGAGCTTCCAGTCGTGGCCCTAGAGCCTGCCGAGCTTGCTGGTGTTGCCATATCAACTCGAAACCTTGGGTAGTCAAAGTGTTACAAGGGGTTTCCACGTACCTAACCGTAGGTTCGGACCCTGCGGGTATTTAGTGATTCGAGCGTGAGGGATGGTGGTACCAAAGAGGTTAGGTGAATATCCTACACCGTATAATAGTACGATGCAATAAATATCAAGAGAAGGCTGATGGTTCGTATAAAGACGAGTGGCTTCAATTTAGATATGAAAGTAAGCTTTTGAAGTTAACTACGAAGAATAGGAAATGTTTAGAGAATGTCCGGGACTATATACCAATCGTCCCACCCTTCACGGTCTTCCGATTCCTCGTCGGGGTCCCGCCAAGCCATCGGGGTCCCGGGACCCATCGGGGTCCCTGGGACCTTGCTCGTATGCTGGACCTCGTCACGTGACCCTAGGGTCCCGCCAAGTCCTTCTTTCTGCGGGGCCCTATCACGTGGTATCGGGCTGCGTGAGCCCGAGTGAATGCTTACTGGCCTTGCCAGATCAGCATCACCTTTGTTCTCGTTGTTTCCTGCCGCTGTCCCGCGGTCTTCTTTAGTGATTGTAACAGTAATAATAGGGATGCCTTTTATGCTAAATACGTACCATCTAAGGGATATCCCTTAAAATGAAAGAGAGCATATCTATATGGGACCTCTTAGCTATTATATAATGAGCCTTTAAATACCATAGGCCTATGCCTAGCATGTGAATAAAGCTATATAGCCAAAGACTACTTTTACCTTTATAAGGAACTAGCACCTGCATAGTGGAAACTAAGACTAGCTATTAGTAAACTAATTAAGCTTAAACGTAAGCATAATAGCGCGTTT